AGACACAAAGTAAACAATGACATCTTTTTAAGTGGATTTTTATATCACTAACCCAATTTATATGAAATTTCAATAATTATAAATGTTATTGAAAAAAAAGGGCAATATAATGATTAACATTTTTTTATGTAATGTACAAAAATAAGTGAAATTTAGTAATTGTTGATTTTTGGTAATTGTGTGTACTGTATTTACTCTATTAATATTTGTTTAATGCTTGCATTAGACAGTATTTAATTGCTATGTTTACACGGCAGCATTCTATTGCAGCCGAACTACTGCTCCTCCCACCGATTAACGAGAGATTATCTCCAATGCATTTACACAGTCAAGAACTGAACAAGAGCTGAGATCTGTTCAGTTCGATCAGAGCTGAAAGGAACAGTGCCCTCAAATACTTATTATGAAAACAACATAGCTGAAAAAGATTTTGGTGTCGTGCTTGTGAACATCAAGAGAAAAAAGAAACAGTCATGAGTTTGAGACAATGCACTGATGTTATGATTTAGGTATCTTGATTAAACAGGATACACGGCATACACTAAATGTGTTACAGCCTATTCGCTTAAGTTTTTGTCATGCAAAATTATCATCTTGTAATTGTTTAAAAATTTGTAACAGTTGTCAAACTAAACCTAGTAGGAACATGTCGCCGTACAGTGACTGCTTCTACGATTTTTGTCTTTGGTGTCTTTAAAAAAGTTTCTTTCCAATGGATCTGATCAGTGATTGGTCCCTTCAATATTTGCCGCATAATTTTGAACGCCATTTTTCTGTTTCCCGTTTAGCTATCATTCTACCACAGTATTTCTTTACTCTGCCAAATAGATATTCGGGTACATACCTCTTTGTAAAGCCAGAAATTATGTGAAATTACAATTGATGTTGACTTGATAATTCAAATGTCTGGTTACTTGAAGAAGACGATTGAGGGCATGATTTCGGCCCAATAGTTGGGCCTGATGCGTATACACGGTCGAGCCATGTTTAGGGACATGGACACTTATTTGCATAATATTGTAGCTCATTATTTGCATAATTTCACTTGATTCCTTGTCTGTTTCCTGCCACCTTGTTTGGGAAAGTTGTTTCAATTTCGCTTGGACTTGTATTTGAATTTGTGCAGTTTGAAATGGAAAGATCTTTATCCGGAGTGTGTAATGGTAGAAAATGTGGCACTCCTACGGTACTACCACGCTGAGTATATTGCTCCCACTACTAGAAGTGCAATTGTCAATTTATTTATTTTATTATTGTTAATAAATTTTGTCTACCATCATTCTAGTTGTGTCTTAAAAAGAACATGTCTTTAATACCATGTTGACACGTGTGCCACAGAGCCGACTAACTTGGTAAACAATTGTTTAATTGGTCCTGTGTTCATACGTGTATAAAATGCTGGTGTTGTTATCGGTCGTTTCTTTAAAATACTTTAATGTAACTCCAGAGTGAGGCTGATGTTAAGGGCGTGCTTTTAATGTATGTACTTTTAATAGAAAAAATACAGTATTTCAATTATGTTATTATTCCTTTTAAACATAATAAGTAAAGAATATAGAAAGTTTAAAAGCACTATTATATTTAGATATTTTGATGATTGAAAGACAAAATGTAAACCAAAACTAGTTAATTTTTTCTTCAGAATTTAAAATAGCCAATCACCATCCATGGTTTGCACTGTAAAGATAAATGACTTTGTTTAAATGGCAGGTTTATTTTCTGTCAAACTGTATCCTTGTTACTCTTCTTAATAACATATGTTGCAAGATACGACTGAGAAATATATATTCCATCTTTGCCATGCAGCCATGGTTCATTTATTCGGCAGTCATCTCATGCAGCATCATACCTTGGCAGAACTTTCACTATAAATGCAATCAAACACAACGGCACATACTCTGGTACATTTCAAGCACCATGGAATGTTACCATGAGAAATCAAATGCAAATTTTTTTGGTTTAAATTTGGAACTGATGCGAGTTCTTACTAGAATGCTGCTTGATGAATCCAGCTCCTTGGTGCGCCCAATCAAATCATTCAATTAAACAGAGGTTGAATACAGCTTTTCTTAACACAATCACTCACGGGTTCATAGGGAAGGCCATGGATGTTGGATTCAGCGAAACGACTGATGGAATTACTCATTGTGTTTTAGTTTCACTTTTTCTGCTAATAAGCGAAAGTCATTAAAGGAAAACCAAGTGAATATGCGCCAGCATGCATTCACCATGAGAATACAAGTATATGTACATCAATGAGTGACAATTAAATTGCAAATTTATACTTAAAGTAATGATGTTCAAAACAAAGTGTAATTAGTCCCCGTTCGGACGCTGTCCGAAAACGGGGACTTATGTTTTGACCTCCGTGCGTTTGTGCGTGCGTCCGGACCTGTATCTTAGAAATGCCTGGACCAATCACAATCAAACTTCACACATACATCATACATGATATCATACATATGCACGTCAATTTGTTTCATGATCTGATTCAAGATGGCCGAATGGCGGCCATTTTTGTGTTAAAAATCATCAAAATCGAGCATTTCCCGGTTGTTTACAGATGGATTTTGTTCAAACCTTGTATATACGTTGGACATTATAGGACCTTGATGCACATCATTTTGTTTTACGATCTGATTCAAGATGGCTGAATGGCGGCCATTTTTGTGCTAAAAAATCATAAAAAGCAACCATTTCTCGGCTGTTTACAGATGGATTTTGCTCAAACTTGGTATATACATTAGACATTATGGGACCTTGATGCAAATAATTTTGTTTTTCAGATAACATTCAAAATGGCCGACTGGCGGCCATTTTGTATTAATCAATGTGGTTCTCGTGCCATATCTCCAATATATTGTTTTGACTGATTATGTTCAAATTTTAAATATTCATTATACATCATGTCATAGATATATTAGTTTGACGATTCTATTCAAAATGGCCGAATGGTTGTCATTTTTGTACTAAAAAATCATCAAATATCAAGCATTTCTGGCATTTATGGATGGATTTCGTTCAAACTTGGTACATACATTAGACATTACGGGTTCCTGATGCACGTCATTTTATTTTTCAGATCAGATTCAAAATGGCTGTCTGGTG